TGGTATTTTTCTGTTTGATGAGGTAGAAGAAAAAATTTTAACCTCATCAAGTATTATTAGTATTATTGTATGTATTATGTGGTGTATGTGCACGTATAGATAATGAATCAATAGGTTTAGTAATGAATATCATTTAAAGGAAAATCATTGTTGTATCAATTAATGACGAGCGTAGCATCACACCGGAAATGAGGTCATCAATAATTTAATTTATTTTCTACGCGTCTTTAAATATGCAATCTCTCGCTTTCCCCGCATCAATAGTAAATTATTAGGGAGTGCAGAGGCAATAACTTAACACCAGTTACAATAATTATAGGAAGAGGAAGTAAATATGTAGATGATTGATGAAGACGAAAATGACTATGATGAATGATCGTATATATTTAAAGAGGAGGAGGAAAAAACAATAGTCTATCATAAAAGACTATTAAATAGAACTCTCACTTATTCTGAATTTATAAATATGCGAAAAGTAATAAAGTTTATACATACATACAATGAAGAAATTACCAATACTTATTAATGTACATAATATCGCAAAGTGTCATATTTTGCAATATTCTACTACTATGTTTTCTTCCCTCTGTGTACCTTAACGATCAATAATCTTTTAACCCGCCTTGCGCTACATAATGAGCACTTTGACCAAGACCCGGTATTGGACCGCCTAATTGATGATGTTGTGCAGCATTTGAGGCTGATGGATATTGATGATGTAATTGCATATGAGCAGGTGATGCTCCTAACCCTGCTAATGTGCCTGCGGATAATCCACCGGTATTACTTGAAGGCATACCTCCTAAACCCATTAAACCAGCCATATTCACACTTGACAGACCTTGTTGCGTAATTCCTTGCTGCTGTTGAATTAGTCCGCCAGATGCTAAGGATGATACGCCTGCCTGTGATGCAGCGACACCGCCAATCCCACTTAGTCCGCCCATCATTGGTGGCCTATCCTCTAACGAGTCATACATGTAATAAATCTCTTTGGTCTTTTCCCAATTGTTCGGATCAAAGATGATGTAATTTCCTCGTTCAAACGTTGGCGATTTCATAGCTGGTTCTGTACCAGGTTCTTTTGTTAACCAAAGTTTCTGTTCCCGATGATATCGCCAATTGCGATTATATCTTGACATTTATTGGTTTATTCCATCAAGAAATCCATTGGAAAAAGAGGGAAATAAATATTTTAATAGTTTAACCATAATTAAAAAATTAATACTGAACTCAACTTACAATTCTTGAGCTGCAACCTCCTGTAATATATCTCTTGGCATACTATAAAAGATATAAAAAAGCGTTTCATCAGAAAAGGACGAGATTTTTGATTGAGCTGGTGGCGGCGGTTGTACATTATAACATGAAGGTAATTGATAATCAGGTTCAATTAAACCAGCTATCTGATTATTATCTGCCCAAGGAGAAGTAAACGTTGTGTAAAGAGCACTGCTACTCAAAAATAAAGTGATTTGTACAATTAAATGTTCGAATATAACAATCAAGTGTTACTTCTTCAAATTAAAGAATACTTACTCTGGCGAATTTAAATTTAGGCCTAACGTTGCCAGGTCACTTCCTAAAGCCAACATACTCAGATCTGGGTCAGTCATCCTTATTACATTCAGAAGACCCATAAGACCATACGAATCTCCTGACGTTGAAGTCACACTTACACTTGACGTCGAAGGAGATTGATTTATCGTCGAAGAATTGGATGAATGCATGTTCGCAGATATACCACCATTTGTTGTAGAGTAAGGAGGTACACCTACTAATGTTGATGAAGTTGAATAAGGGGTTGATCCTCTCAATGTCTCAGCAAGATTATACGGATTCAGAGATGAGGATATAGAGGAGAGCGTCTGTTGTTGTTGTTGTTGTTGCTGAACATGCAGACTATTTCCAGTTTTTGTTGCATAATTCTGTATTATGGGAAAAATTTCACAAATCCAAAATTACACATGGATTAACGAATAATAAAATATCATAGAATAGTAATGTAAAATAGTAGGATAATTAGGTAATCATCATTCAGACTATTATTATCGTGGAAATTGACGATAATATTATACTTGGACGTTCTTTCTATCCATTTTTTTCATTAAACTAACCTTTTTGTCTTGTTCGGATATCGAATTTATCTGCGGTTGTACCGTTGTTCTTATCCCACCTGAACACGACAAAGGGTTAATTCTCATTGATTGTGTTCAATCAACCAATCAAATTTCGAACACAAATATAACCACCACCAACTATACACGTCAGTAATGCCGGCATTGCATTACGTACCAAGTCCTAACCGACCATCTTGTAACGATGATGATGACAAACCAGGTGTCATACTATTCGTATTATTCAATGCGTCCAAATTACTTGATTGTTGGTGTTGTTGTAGATGATGATGATGTTGCTGTTGCTGCTGTGACAAAGAAGGTGGTTGCGTTCCAACTATACCTCGATTACCACCGTTACTTGTGGCGCCAGGTAATGCTGGAAAATCATCAATCGTAAATTCTTGAGTCTGTTGTTGCTGATGATGAAGTGAACGACCATCATTTGGTCCATTTACACTGGTGGATGTTCCGGCTGTTGTCGCATAGCTCGAACCGAGTCCACTCGTTGATGAATTATTGACTGTTGTATTTGAGCTGCCCAATGCTGGAAATTCAGACATATCCAATATATCGTTCGGGGGCTGAGAATGAACATTATGCAATCCACTCGGATATCCCGTAAAAGTTTGTTGTCGCGTTGTCAGACTCTGTGATGTTAACGCCGAACCTGGCGTATAATTCCATGATGGGACATTTGACGCTAATAAATATGTATACGTGGAGAAAAACACATTGCGAATAAAGAGTAAGATCATAATTTTGTAGATCATATTCACGAGAACAAAGATAAACTTGTAACATACCTATCCTTCCGTTAGTTCGTTGCATCAAAGAAGTACCTCCTACAGTACGTTGAGCCATTGAATTTGTAGGATAAGGCGAATTAATGGGTCCAGGCCGACTAGCTTGCTGCGGGGGGTTTACTACTACTCAAATTAATGTGCAAATTCCAATTTAGATCGATCGCCTAAAATAAATCCACCCGAGTGTTCTTTCCTTGAAAAACTCACCCGTCATACCTGACCGATTCATCAAGCTTCCACCAGGCTGAGGAACGTACCGGTTTTGATTGTTTATTGGCTTTACGATGTTGCTATTCACAGGCATTTGAGTAATATGTCTTTTTGATTCAGTGAGAAAAAGACTATTTCAGCGAAAGCTGACACTTGTTTACTTTAACTATTGAAAAAAGTTTAGACTTTGTGTTACTTTGGTGGCTTTTCACTTTGGTTGTTAATCACGTGGATTATTTATGTATTATCTCACGTAGTTCTCACGCATGATCATAAACACAAGAAAAATGGATAATTTTAGAATATATGTGTAACAGCCCGATGATTTTGCTCGTATATAATTTTCATGATTTTATAAATTACAACAAATTATTTGATTGATTAATAAAAAATAATTTATAACTCCAAAACTAAATAATATTATAACTGATAATATATTTAATTAAATATAAATTCTGAATAATTATTATTTATAATAAAAATAAATTTTTCATATAAATATTTTTGATAATTTATATTTTATATATAATAATTCTTAATTTTGAATTTTATAATAATTTTTTATTTTATACTAAAATATAATTTATAATTTAATTATATTATTTTTAGATTTTTCTGAAAGAATTATTTTAACTATAAATATTTTTAAAAATCTAAAAAAATTAGTAATCAAAAGTATTTAATATTTATAATTTATAAATTAAAATTATCTTGAAATTTTTAAAAAGCTAAATTTTAATATTATTTTTACATTCAATATAAAAAATAATAATAGTCATGTTTTTTATCTATAACCTAATAAGAAATTGCTAAAAATTTATAAAAATTTGATATTATATTCTTTAAACTAATGAAAATAATATTTTCTAAAATTATAAAGCATATTAATATAGTAATATTTTGTGAAATTACATGTTAAAGATAATGGGCTGGGAGACTATTCTGGTTAAGAAGCTATAAAAAATTATTTAAAAATATTTTTTATAAGCAAATATGAAAATAATTTTATAGAAATACAGTGACAATCAAAAGTAATAACTTGGAGCTAAATTTACTAATAAAATATAATGAAAATTGAAATTTTCTCTCTATATAAAAATTTATGATTTTAATAAGAAATAATTTTTATTTTTATATTAAAATAA